ATTATAAATTTTAACTCCCCCGAGCGTTGGAAATTGATTTTGTTTCCAGATTAGACCCTTATCTTTGATGAGGGCACATGTCTTCGGTCTGATACTTTTCTCAGATGTAAAATATCTGGACCGTGCTTCAATTATTATTTTTTTTATGGATTTTATAAAATTTTCTGGAAATTATTGAAGATAATGCTGGTTAGAAATCAAATACATACAGATAAACGCAGTTTTTATTGTCCAAAATCAAATGTTATGGAATATATTTCGATTTACAGTACTGGGTTTAGAATAGCTGGTTGTTAATGGTGTGGAAAACAAGTTAAGAGAGAGTTAGGTCTGGAGCACAACAAGCAGATAAATAGAATATGAGTGGGAAGATAGATCCAAAAAAAAAAAAAAAAAAAAAACATTCATGGGTTTCTTCCTTTAAAAATTCCATTGACTTCCCAATCTGTTTGCATTCTACACACACACACAATTTGATCGAAGAGCAAATCTCCCGGTAGCCGCAGACATGGTTATGGTTAGTCTTGGTATATACAGTGATGCGGCGTGTACGGAGTTTGTCAAATTCTTTCTCACACACACAGGGAAAAGTCAGTCTACTTAAAATCTACCCTTCTCATCCGGTAATCTCGTAAACACGTTTCCATTGATAGAGACTGTATTTCACGTTGTTTAAATGCCAAGTTTGGAAACATGTTTGCACAGCACACAATAATCCACAAAACTTGCCTCTTTGGAAAAGGCCCAACAGATCAATGTATTATGCATTCCCTGTAACTATAAATCATCCCAGACGAAGAACATTTAGAGGGAGGAAAAGGAATTCATAATAATAATCCAAAAATACATTCCCTGAGATCACTGTCCAAGTAGATAAAATCAATACGGGGGAACAAAAAAAAAAAATTATCCAGGACTGGATAAGGATCTAGACTGTGTTTTCAAAACATAGAATCTCTCACCGCTTCCTTGGCTTTTCCAGAAGCCAAATTTGCCAATAAACAAAACATCGAATCTATCATTACCCCCGCAGTAATTTACATACAATTTTTATTTTAGTATTTGATGTAGTAGTCAGATGAGTACAAAAATGTTGAAAGGTTATTTACTAGCTCAAAAATCAAACAATGGAATTAATTACCCACGTAAACCCCTGCAATAAACAAGTTGTTGTAACTTGGGCAAGAACCAGTGATCTTCCATTAAATTACATCATTTGATTTTCTCCCCATTTAAACAATAAGCATGCGAACGCGTACTTTCAAGAAAGAGAATAGTAATGCCAAAACAAGGCAACAGAAAATAGGAAAGAGCGGCACAATCTAATATCAAGATCAAACTTCCCACCCAATAATCTATAAATGGAAAGAAGAAAGAATGGTTTAATTTCAACATGATTTACAGCATTTAGAATCTGACTGATCTGAAAACAGAGGAAACAGAACTGACTTACTTGGAGCTGATAATTCTCAAGGAGGAAATCTTTCGGAATCGTTTCGGCTATTTTTACAAAAAGTTTCACGAAACATCAATTGAGTTCGACTCTTGAGTAATCCACTCCGACTGAACGAAAAGATATCTACATCTCAGCAAGGGCAACGCCTATTATCTTTTACTCAAGTTGAATTTAAGATATTACAAGGTCGTTGAGTTGATCAACGGACGACAGATACATTTGCCAAAGAATAAAGAAATAAAATATAGAATCGAGTACATGAAAGAAACAAGTCCCCCCTTGTTCCCTAAGATGATTAAGTAATAGCCAATTTCAGAAACTCACCCACCAAACTATACACATATATACACAGGAGATCAGAGCTTGGAAACCAAATTCATTCAGGTTCAAGAGTCAGTCTACTTAATAATCATGGAACCAAACAAACTATCTGCAGAAACATTATGTAATGTTTAGCGAGGTAATGTCGCTATAGTAACAGTTGGATACTCAAAAACATGAAAGTATAAACTTTTCTTGTACCAAAATACGATTGGATAATATCGTCTGTGAGCCTTTCAACTGTTGACTCGGTCACACTATTGCTTACAAATTCGTAGGTGTAGCAAGCTGCCAAAAGTGCAACAATTCTCAGAATCCATTTCGCTGATCAAAATATAACCACGCACCGGTCACATTAAGAATCCTATTGTTCTATTGTCAAAGAAATTCATTTCAGATCAACACAGAACCCCAAAAGAGGAAAAAGAAATCAAGAACCAGATATCATCAAGAAACGTAGAGAATGCCTCTGCGATAAAAGAGAAGGCTTAATGAAGTGAAAACTGCCCAAACAAAGACAACCCACCAAGACATAAACAGTGCCATTTCTCCAATAAAATCAGAGCAAGGCAGTGAACCACACATCAATTGCAACTTTCCGCATGAGTTACTATCTACCTGAGATAAGCCAAGGAAGAGAAATAACAAGAGTGGTGGCGCAAAGAACTGGCAAATCGCAAGACATAAGTAGTGATTGTGCAGAAAAACCTTTGCTCTGCTAAAGTCCAAATCAGGGACCTTGCTGGCATGGAGTCTCTGGTACCAGGATAGCACTGCTTCATTCAAAAACATTTGCAAATTCGGGCGTAAAGCTGCAATTTGCAAGAAACCCGACATCAACAAGCAACAGAGCCTTACTTTACCAAAATCCAGTGGCGACAATCCCACATTGCCAACCAACTTCTCAGCACCATTTGTGCCATTTACATCTTTCCCGCCATTAATGTTCTTGTTAACAAGAATGTCAGCGAAGGGATTAATCCAAAGCATTGCCGTAAAAACAACAACGATGTAGTTGGCATAAAGAATCATTCTAGAGAACCACCCACAAGAAATTATCGACAAGTTAGACCTAATTTGATCTGTTCCAAGCCAAAACGACCGGGCATTCTTCCCCGCAGGCATGTATAGGAAACCTGCAATGCAGCCCATAAAAGAGGAAACGAAAATGCTCCACAGCCCATCAATTAAACCCAATTTGAAATCGATACCAAAAGGGAAGATCCGAAAGCAAATCGTGATTCCAAAAACGAACCCCAGAACCCCAAAAAGCATGCTCAATTGCTTCTCAGACGATTTCGACGCGGACTTCTCAAGCGACAACTTTGTTAGTGAAATAAATACTTTGCACAAACCAACAAGTGCAAAGATAACCGGAACGAAAGACCCATTTGCCAAGCTCCCATGGTCCTGAGATACGCCTAGATACTGGTGGAGCAAGAAACAGGAAAAAGCCACCAGCGAGAAAATGAAGCAATCGTGATAGTCCTTGAAATAGAGACGAGATTGAAGGTGAGGCTGATCGAGCGTTATCCTGAAGATCTGGGCGTTGTTCTCGTCGAAGTCGAACTTTTCTTTGGATTTGTTCCTTCTCTTGAGATCGGTGTTGGGTTTTGAGGACAAATTTTTATAGGGTTCGAGGCCAGGAGTTGAATCGGTGGCGGAAGGTCTGCGAATGGCGGCTCTTAAGCCATGTTGTGAAGTGTTGTGAGCGAGATTCTCCGGGTGGACATAAGTATGGAGACCCCGAAGGAAGAAGATGGGGAGCTTGAGGGAGGTCGAAAGTAATGTGAAGGAAAGAGAGAGGATGGCCTGAAGAATGAGGTTCCGGTAAGTTTGAAAGAAGTGGAGCATGGTTTCTCCCTGTTAGAATCAGGGTTTGGCCGTTTGTCGTTGACAGAGAGAAGTGCGAACTGAGAAGGGTTTGGTTTGGCAGCAAAAAAGTTTATCCTCTGCTCCACGGTCTACCGCTTATGCTACTATTCCCAATCAGAAATCATCCTTGAGCTCGCGTGTCAATATCTTTGCAAGATTGCACGTTGGGATATTGTAGATATGTATGTATATATAAATTATTTTTTCTTCAATTGAATTAAGAGTAACTAAATTTAAATTTCATTATTATTATTTACATTTATTTAATTGGTAGGTATTACAAATTCATTTAATTCTAATTGAATATATATATATCGACTATGCTCTTCCTACCTATTTTTTTTTAGAATTCATGGACTTTAATAACTCTAATACATTTATATATCAACAATACTCAGTTAAATAACCATATATTTATATAAAAATATAATAATTTAATAGTTAAAAATTTTGTATTTTATTTAAATATTATAAATTTAAATTTTATTAAAAACATAAATTTTATTATTTTGTAAATATATTATAAGTCAATAGTAAGAGTCATCATGTCTGCCGACATTGAATTGATTTTATTTTATATTTATTTATTTTATTGAGATGACATCGTAATATATACAATATCAACTTCTTGAGAGTTTTTTTGATGATGCAGATTTTATCGTTCATCCTAATCTCCATCCAACTAAAGTTGTCTTGCAAATTACTGAGACCGATTTCTAAGTTTTTTATATGTTCTTTCTTAGAGGCCATGTTTGATCTAACTCTAATACTAATGTTAGATCACAATCAGAGTACCAGAGATTCAGGTTTGTTTTTTTTCCTTATGGTGAGAAAATACTAGTAGAAAATTGAAAAAAAAAATTGATATATTTAATTGATAAATTTGAAATTCTTTAAATATATAAATTTACAATTAAAACTACCTACCTGTGTGACACAAATAAGAACAAAAAAATAATAAAATCAAAAATATAAATGGTGTTGAGCAAATCATGATCGTTGTTTGATCGAGTCTTCAACTATGCACGTTGCATTTAAGGTTGCATCTTTAGCCTTTCTGGATAAATGCTGGTTTGATCATTTAATACAGATATTGTGGGTTCCTCACAAGTACCTATTAGGATCTTTGAAGTCTATTAAAGACCACTTTAGTGGCAGAGTGCTCGACTTATTGAAGAGTAGAGAAGTAGCAAAAACTCTCAAAAGTTTTATTGTTGAAGTTGATAGTGGCCTTCCTGAATGGACGTACGCGAGGAAAGGTTGAAACAACTCTCGTACACTAACATTTATAGTAGGTTCTTATGCATTTCCATCGTTTTCTCTCTCTATCTATCTAGATTCCACTTTGATTCCATGTGTTTCTTTTAACAGTTAGAATTTTAAGTTTAAGGATTAGTGGAGTTGACGTTATAATATTTGCATGCACAAATTTACTGTAGGATTAGAGTTAAAGATTATATTTACAAATCACCGCAAGATCAAAGTAAAAAAATATGTTGGACAAATCAAAGAATATGTAGCTATACAAAATCACTACATGATCACAGTCAAAGAAAATGTAGCTGTGTGGAGTACAACAAAACGTCAGCGTTTTGGACTCCTCTTTAATGTAGATTTCGGCACGTGGTCTATTTCATTCAGTTCAATGTCCATTAGTATTTGCAAAGGATTCTTTTCACGTGCATCCTCTTGTTTAATTTGTTACATATTCATTTAATATTATGATTTAAATCTTAATTCACACTTAACTATTGAAATTAGTATCGGAAAATAATTTAATTATGGGTCTAATTGAGTTTAGAGTTGCGGAAAGAAATAATTTTCAAGAAAGTTAGATTAAAGTCGTGTTTGGCTAACCAAAATTAAGTTCCTTAACTGAGATTATTTATAGTCAATTTATTTATTGGGATTTTCGTTATGCCAAATAATCACTTAAAATTGGGCCACCCAAGCCCAAGAAGAGAAGGTAACTCGTGATGGGCTTGAACTCTATTCTGTCGCCTGATAGTCTAATTTCATCCAAGCACATGATACATACACCACGAATAAGAAGCTGCATGTACAGTAAAAGTCAGTCCTAACACTGTATTTATATACATATATACATATATATATGTACATAAACATACGAGTATTATGCACATATGCCGATACGCGCATGCAGTACTTATATCTAGCGATAAATATATTATAAGTATACGAAGGAGGAAGTGAAATTTGATCTCAGCTTAAATAATGGAAAGAATGCATCGAGATATATGTGATTGTATACTAATATCATCTATCTAATCATGATATATATATATATATATATGCATTGGGGTCGAAAGTTTGTCGTCTGTCGTGGACGTGATGTTTTTGCTTCCGTTCATACATGCTTTTCCAGATAATAAATAATTGATCGCGATGCTGATGAGCAACTTAAGTTTCACAAGTGGCTTTGCCATGCAAGGATCTAACACTGCTATACTTGTAGATAGTACTTGTATGTATATATATATATATATATATATAGATAGATAAGTCCAATTGCATAGTTATTATATATATATATATATGAAAAGATTAAGCAGCCAACTCTTGTCATCATAAAAGATAAGGTTTTGCTAATTAACATATCAAGATTCAGATCTCTTTCTTTATCCCTGTCTCCATCTCCTTTATCTCCTAAGTCCTATTCTGTACATTTATATTATACCTTTTAATTTTTTCACCCTAATCTTAAAAATATCAATAGCTACAGCTTTACATATTATTACATATATCGACCTACACACATACATGTATCTATAACTATCATATCTCTCAGCATTGTTTTACTTCATTTTAATAACAGACGGTTATTTGTAAACTTAATTACTTTCCATTGAGAATATATATATATGTATGTATCTTCCTAGATACAAATTATCACCAGCAAATTAAGCTTTCCTCTAAAAATCCTTCATAAATTCGCAAAAAACAAATAAAAAACATCTGTCTAATTCTACTGTCGTCATCCTAATGCCATGCTAGAAGGCATTCTCAAATCTTCACGCTGCCGACTTTGATTTTTCAAATAATAAACTATTTTTAACACTTATAACATATATATATATATATAAACAGGTAAATCCAGCTTTCAGCTAGCCAATAAAGACTGATCATGCTCATTAATAAATAAAAATATCTCTTTTGCCAACTTCACATAATACACGCAACGTTCCTACCTACATGATCAACCAACAAAATGTTCAGCTGCTGCACACTACTAAACTAGTATAAATATATATATATATATATATATTATACAAAGAACCCATCATCTCTAACAAATGAAAAAGAAAGAGATAAAAGAGAAAAAAAAATGTATATATATATATATAAGAAAAAGAGGAATACACTGCCGTTGCTATGAACAACAAGAATCTTTCTCATGAGTTGACAGGTGCCATGGAAGCAACTGGCACATTATTTTGGAGGGTCTTTCTCATCCTTATCACCTCTGCATTCAGAATGTGGGACCACCTGTGGATTAAACATATATATATATATATATACATATAAATGAGTTTTTTTTTTTTTTAATTATTATTAAAAAAAAGCATTAATAGACCAAAAATAATGAAAGAATTAAACGAAGATATAATTTCAACGTCAAAAACACTTTTTTGAAAAGATGTTATTAATCGGAATAGAACGTGGGTTGTGGATTGGAGACAAGAGGAATCGAACTCATTTTATTTTCATCAGTACAATATCCATGTGATGATGATCATGCGAACCATGTTGGATGCTGGTGCAGTGTATTAACTATTCTCGCGACGTACTCTGCGGGGGCTACATGTGTTTTCATATGTGTAAATATATGATTATTTAGTGGGTTTATAGATGTGATTATGATGTTTACGGAATCGATTATGTCACCTACCTGATCTTGTGATGAATCGCACGGCTGAGATGAAAGTCTCCTGCTTCTCTTGTCAGGCCTACCATTCTCTCTGGTTCTCGTAGTCGTACCCAAAAAATCAACTGACATGTAATACCCGAAAAGGCCGTAGCATTATAAATCAATATTTAAGTGAGAAATTGTTAAAATAAAACCTCAAACCCTAAAAAGGAAAGAGAAAAAGAATCGTAAAGTGCAACAAATATCTTGGAGGCATATTCGGCATTTTGTTGATCTTTTTGGTAGGTCGTCGTGCTCTTTCTTCCACGTTTTAAGTAATGCAGACGATAATATATATATATACATAATTCATGGGTCAGTATTTCACCACTCTTTAACATGCCTCAGACCATCAGACCCCACAACGCCCATAAGATCTTCAAATTAACACATTAATGCAATTACATACATACATACATATATATGTAATTAACCACATTATTATTTCCAGTGGGAAACTTGAATTTTTTCTTCATTTTGCAGTAACAAATCCCACTGATTAAAACCCCCGATGACATATTATTCTGGAATAACAAGGAAATTAACCTCGAGACGGTTGATTTAAAAAATGCAAACTTGTTGGAAAAAACGACAAACCCAGATGGGAAGTGTGAGTAAGAGAATGGTTTTTCTTCACTAATTCTTAATAAGGGAAAACGCAAGAATAAAAAAGAAAAAGAAAAAGTACCTGAGTTGGTGGCATGCTTTTTCCGTCGGAGAGTTTTCAAATCCAAGGTCGACTCAGAGCTGTCGGGAAGGTGACGATCGAGTGGGAGGAGACGACCGTTATCCGCCAGCATGGTGAGAACGAAAGCCGCCTCCATGTTATTCAAGAACCTCAAGTGCTTCTCGTCAGTCCATGACTCCGTTTGCTCGCTGGCCACCTGCGATTCCATGTATGTATGTCCACCGGTTAACAACCGCCGTCGCCGGGTTAAATCTCCCTCTCTTTTTGTTTTTTGTTTTTTCTCTCCTGGGTTTGTCCTTAGCGTTGAGTTGAAAATTCGAGGGTGATATTGTTTTGGGAAGACAGCCCCAAGCCCGTGCGGGGAGCGCCGGCTCAGTTTTATAAGGATATATATAGAGAAACGGATGAGAGTATGGAAGGAGCGGCACTCGCCAGATCAGGGAACCACGTGTGCTTCGTTAATTATGAATTAAGAACCCATTAGGTTAAATTAAGAGTTTGGAACAAAAAGAAAAGCAAAAAAAAATGAGGGTGATGATGAGTTGGGACCAGGTGCTACTCAAATACAGGGGCATCATTATATTTCTGTTGTTCACGAAGCATGGTGAATTACATATTTATATCTATCGATGTACGTAATGTTTGGGATATTTTTTCCTTGAGAGAAAAATTTCTACAGAAGAAAATATCTAATGCATGCTGTCATTTAATTATTTAAATAGTAACGCATTGAAACAAATCATATAAAAATCCAAAACACACATGGGATGGATAAAATGGGTGTGTTTTCATATTAGTATAATAATATAATATAATATATACATATACATATTCGAGGAGGTGTAGATATTTTGGTCATCACCCACAACAGTCTTCTCCTTTCTTGGACCAGAAACAAATAAAAATCTTAAATGCTGACTGTTATATTTTCATTTTCTTTTATTTTTTAAAACTTATTTATCGTCAAACATATCAGGATCTTTTTTTTTTTTTTTCTCCGCATCCACAATTACTTGTGGTTCGTGCGTACTGCGGGTTAAAATCATAAAAACTTTAATTCCCGAATTTAATCAAATATATTTCTATCAGATATATTATATATATATATATATATAATATATGGAAGTTCAATCACTGCAACATAAAACTTTTTGCGGCAGTTCGTCGACATTGGCTTCAGAGCGCCATTAAAGCATGCCGCAGAACAATGGCGCCTCAAGTTTCTGTCATCCGGCACTGCACGCTTGCAGTCATCATAAAAATATCACGTATTTAAATCTCTACAAATTGCTCAATAAACTAAGAGATCATTATTTTTATATTGAAAAATTCAATTCCACCATAAAAAATATTCATTCAAGTTCATAACATTCTTCAAATAACTTTGCTACATGTCGCTTTGTCTAATTATCTGACGGTGAACTTACGACTTGCATCCGATGAAGTACGCACATTTCTACTACCATCGTCGTGAATTTTTTATTTTTCTAATTTTCTTTGAAGACTGACTCTCGTAATTTCATTGTACTCGGACTTTCTGTCGGGAGACTCATTTTAGGATGTGTGCGAAGTACAGGTGGTCTGAGATTGTTCATCATTTTAGTTTAGATCCAAAAAATCAAATATAACTTTAAATTGAAATTAAAATGATTTTACTTAAACAGAGCCTCCCTATATCATAGTTGTTGCGTTTGAAAAGTCAAAATTGATGGCTGTGCAATATTTACTCCACCATGATTCAGTGTTGGCTAGTGTCAACCAACGTTAAAAAGTAAAAGACAAAATAGAACCAAACAAAAATAAAATTGCTGGGAAAATAATTTTGAGAATTTTTTATCAAACACCCTCTAAGTGTGCAGAAACAGTGAATTGAAAAACCACTCCCGACTAAATTTCCACATTAATTCCCTGAGAAAACTCTTATTGAAACTTTTATTGAAACGGAAAACATGGAAATATACCCTTAGCTTTGGCTTTTTCTTACTCATTCAAGATTGGTATGGCGAGACCGAACCGCTTCAGGGCTTTCACCCAGAGCCTCACCCAATCTGTACACCACCATCTCAAACAGCACAAACATCGCCCCTTCATACAAACTTCCCATCGGAAGCAACCGCCTTCTACTTTCCTCCCCACCCACATCCTCATCGTCCGCCATCGTTTGCGCCGCCACGTAACATACGGCGTTAGCGTGCTTCATGCACGTTCCTTCCTCGGGCCGTGCAGTCAGTAGCAACACTCTGGCGCCATTTGATCTAGCCAGAGAGCATATCGCGTCGACGGTCGCAAATCCACCGGGCCCAGCAGAAGCGACAAGGAGGTCGGCCGCGGTGATGGGAGGAGTTGTCACGTCGAGGACGAAATGGGCGGAAAGGCCTAGGTGAGCCAGGCGCATGCACAGGGCTTTGAGCATGAGTCCCTCCCGGCCCACTCCGTAGAGGAAAACACGGCCGTTTTGGGATGCCGTGGTGACGAGCTCAGTAACCATGAGGTCTAAGGGCGGTGGGTAAGGGTGAGTTGGTTTGTAGAAGACGGAAGCTATGTGTTCGCATATCTGGGTGGCTAGAGTTGACATGGATGAGGTTTTGGTGGCCATTTGGTAATGATTCCCACTTAACTCCCATCTTTATCTAGATAATGGCAGCAGAAACTGTAACATCGAACTTCTTATACTAAGATAGAATGTATAAATTAAAGTAAAAAATGTATGTATAGGTCCCACTCCATTCCAAAACTCGCGAAATCCAAACAAATATATTTCCAACTTCCGGGAAGTTTATGGCTCTCCGATCATTTGTCACCAAGCGAGCCCAAGTACAACTTCAGCAGACATCGTTTGGAGTAGAGATATTACACCAGCATGGTAATCACAACTACAGTTCTATAATCTAATCCAATCGTGACAATAAAACAATATCCAGATTTATAATAAGTCAGCTTTTTTTTTTTCCCCCTTTTTTTTTAAAGTACTCCCGTGGAAAAGAGGTATTGATGCCCACTAAAGAAAACAAAATTATTTGTCTTAAAAAATATTTACAAATCCCACATGAAAAAGAAAAAAAAAAAAATGACAAGGTAAGCCATGGTTTCCACTAAGAACAACAGAAATAATGCCAAAACATTGCATTTCACAGTTAAAATGAAGCCAGGAGCAGTCAACTTTAAAGTTTGGTGTCTTTGGACCGCATTCTTGCTTCTAACTCAATTACCCAGGGGGACAGAAGATTTTGCAGTGGAAGTATTGCCATCCTCCATCACGTGAAAGTCTTTCACGCCAGCGCTTATTGACGAAGATGAATCTCCTCTGCTATCTTTCTCACTGTTTTCATCTTCATCATCGTCATCCTCAAGGAAAGAACCCTTGCGCCTGAGTTCTTTTACCTTCAGAAACTCATCGTAATGTGCCTTTCTTTGCTCCTTAAAACTTGCACTCCTCTCCGTCTCACAATCTGTTACTAGAAAGGAAGTCGGAGTCCACTATAAATGCCTCATAAATATTGGGATAAAAAGAAAACCAATCAAAAGATAACGTATAAATGAGGAAATGCTGGCAGAAGGAGAGTAGGCCAGCGCAGAGAAAAGTAAAACGGCAGTAGTATTTTCATTAGCTGCCTCAGATGTGCAAAAGAAACTACAAATCTTTGAAGGAGATGAGAAACTGTATTCAAACAAGAAAAAAAAAAGGAAGTGACAGGCAGATCTGGAGTCCAACGAGAATCAGGAACTCCTACATTACTGGTGAAGCAAAGATCATTTAGCTTCAGCTCATATTTAGTACCTACCATGACCTATAGTTTATGAACTTTCAACTAATTCAAAACTGACTTCGTGTCCTCAATTTACTAACTTCTTACATAATTGTAATTTAGATAACTTGTATGCTAGAAGGCTATGCCTACTCAATTTCATTAAATTTAGTCTCACATCTCAGAGGCATGCCTCATGGAAAGATGTCTCAATTGTCCTATAAACAATCATAATGAAGAAAATGAAAATGTAATAAGTGGCCTTCAAATTATCCAGACACATGATTAAACATGTAAACAGATTCAAATATGCTTAGATAAACGGTGAACTTAAGGATAATTGTTGTGCAAACCTTCATCTTTTTCCATTGGGTCTCCCTCATCCTCAGATGATGTCCAGCCACAATATTGCTGGGTACTTTTTCTACTTGAAGAAGCCATATCATTTAAAGCGGTCCGTAATTCTTCAGCATGCTTTGCATCATCAACACAGTCATCAAAGCACCCACGCACAGGAGACATGGAACCTGTGCAATGATAATGTACACTAACAACTGGCCAAGGAATTTAGTGAATTTAATAGATTAAACAATATGCATTAACAGAGAAACAAGTCCAAATCCTTATTCAACCCCAAAGCAGAAAATTTTAGCATCAAACAATGAAGCAAACCACCAAGCAGTTATGAGAAAAAAAAAGATTTAATGAAACTCAACCTTGGTAAGCCTTGCACCGAGCAATTGGCAACCAAACCCACAGAAACTATTGTGTAAGATTTATAAAGACACATAATACAGATATGACACCTACATATATGCGTGTATGTATCCACATATTACATATGGATATATATATACACCCACAAGATCTGACTGGCTTTACAGAATTAGCAGAAGAGAAAGCATAGTAGAAGGAATGCATACCATCATCATCAATCATGGGATGATAAGGCGTCTTTGGTTCAGTGATTTTCTGTCTTACAGGTTTATTAGCTTCAATTTCCACCAGGTTAGCTTCATTCCACTTTACACGCCCTCTGTTACTGAAATAAACTTCAAATAATCAGATTAAACATATCTGCATAGCAATTGGTAGAAGACATGGACTTCTTAAAAATATGAACAAATAACAAACTTTGCTGGCATAATATTTTCTAAGGAGGAATATGACTGTGTATAGAGGTAGGTAAGTACAAAACAGAACCAGTGAGTAGTAACGATAAGTCTATGACACAAAGTGAAAATCACAAGTCTATGATGCAAAGGGGAAACATAAGCTAAAAATTTCCTAGCAATCTTCTAAGTGAAGTTATTTGAAGAAAATGCAACAATTACCTCATTTTTAAACTTGTTTAACTCCTGAAACACCAGATAGCAAACTAGAAAGTTCCAAAATTACCTGAATGTCAAGAGACATGATAAACATTAGTCACAAAGAAACCTATATAATAACAAGATAAACTATAAAATATGTTCAGTCACATTTCAACATAGCTTCCTTCAATCCCCTGATATTTACTAACTCCGTATCCACCCAAATTTCAACTATAAGAGGCTTCTACAGAAATATTTGTGGTTAAAGTTAAGAAAGAAGTCTCTTAAGCTCAAAAACCCTAAATAAACAAATTCTATGATTTCAACAGCTACATGATTAATAGGGAAATAGCAAAAGACTAGGGAGAATAAAACTGAAATTCAGAAATTTAATTCTACCTCTGATCAATTCAAGCAATAGAATAATGAAGCCATTAAATATCCATGGTCCTAATTGAATTGAATGAAATGATTAACGAAGAATAAGAAATAAATACGCAACCAATCAAACACAGAACTTAACTGAACCACAAACGTAGAGAGAACATAAACAAATTGCATATAGTAACTGAAGGGATCAATTGAATGTACATAAACAATACATTGGTCCTGTTTAACAGACGAAAAACCTAAAATTAATCGGATCGCGATTTATTGAAGAGAACATCGGCGGAAAGAGAACCTCCTCAAACTTTGTTTGATTGGTGAGAAAAGTGAGAAAAATACAGCATGAATATTAACTGGACCAGAATTTTAACCCCTGGGCTAAAATTTTCTTAAATATTGACTGATTCCAAATCTTCGTTTCACAGAATCAGAAACAGAGCTCACTAATAAAAATAATAATAAGAAGAAAAGAGAAGCTTCATACCTCTCGACACGATCTCCTTGCTTGCGAATTCTTCAAGTTTTATTGATTTCTGCCTTTGAATACTATTTGTAATATTATTTTCTTTTGACTTCTGATTTTACGTAACTATCCCTGGCCAACTCTCGACAACGATGAAACCTACGTATGGTATCTTACTGATGTGGGCGCAGGGGATCAAACGAGTGTAACCGTCCATCTTCTTGACTTTCCCCGAATGGACTTTTAAATCTAAGGTAGATGATGCAACGTTAATGCTTGTTAGTGATTTGATGGATCCAACGACGTGGCGCGATCGTGACCATCAAATTTATTAGGGGTAATATTGTAATCTTGGACCAAGAGACTTGATGGGCAAATGAATTTGCGCTTGGGGCTGAAGCGCAGGCGATGTTAAAAAGAAGAACAGGGAAGTCCCGCGGTTGCGTTAGTTTATTTGCAGGAATTGCTAGCTCTTCTTCTGCATTCTTCATATCGTAAGATATTTTCTGTGTATTCTCATGGCTCTTTTCAATATAAAGCAGCTAGTGTTTTATCTGGTGTTGTTCTGTGATGGATTTTGGTTTTCCGTGCTGATAAACAGCCGGGTCTCAGCCATTTTTTATTTTATCTTTACACTTCTGGGCTGTCTCGATTTGTCTTCTTGATTTTCTGATGAGATCTCACTGTCTCACTCTTGATCATTTATTCACTTGATTGGATCTAACTCTGTTGTCTTGATGTCTGTACTTGGTGTGATTATAATACTAAAGGTAAAGGTCAAATCTAGTTCTGAGGCCAATTGTTAATCTGGGCATGTTGTTGGGAATCTTTTTATTTAATTTGAATGTTTCATGGGTTGCAGACTTGATCTTAGAAAGGAAATTATGTTTATTGAATGTTTTCAAACGGTAACGAAGTACAGGAATTTTACAAAGATTTAAGGCAGAATTGGGAAGAAGAATGCTCAGTAGTTACTGGAAATTGAAATGACCTGGTGAGATGAATAGTTAGGTATTGATGGTTCCCAAATTTTGAAGTCAAGATGTGAAAACAGTTTGCTCTGGCATTGATTAGTTCGCCAGAAATTGGGAGAAAATATATCAAGTTTCTAAACGTAAATTATTCTGTTCAGGTTTGAATTTGTGTTAATATCTAATTGAATAGAAGTTCTGTTAGCTTACATTTCATCATGATTTTGACTCTATTCTAAGGTTATTGCAGAGACACCTAAACTATTTATTGTTTACTTGTTACTTGTGATACCTTAGTAAGTTTTGCTGATAAGAATTGAATTTATC